ATCTTTCACCCCCAAAACATAAACAGCATTTTAACCTACCATTGATAATCTTAGTTTTTTCCTAAAATGCATTAATGCTCCTCAACAAAAACTTCTGCCTATTTTTTTTAGTTTTCATAAACATGTGTGATGTTTTTACTGTTTGCATCATACAGAAGTAGCACTCTTAATTTCACTGTATAAATAATTAATTAATTAATAATTTTTATATAAATTTCATGATTTATGAAAATAAAATCCACCTGAAAGGTATTGTATGTAGAACTGTAAATGAGTCCTCGAGGCTCAATGGGGTTATTAACCTGTCTAAATAAAGGTTGAATGAAAATTCAAAATCTTTTATAAACTGCATTACATACAACTTTTCTATTTTTGTTGTTGCAATTTAAAACTTAAAAGGGTACCATATTTTCCGGCGTATAAGTCGTACCTTTTTGCATAAATTTGCAAGTCCTGCAACTTATACATAGAAGTGACTAATATACATTTTTCCCCCATATTTAGAACCCAATTTTTGGCTGAGATCTGACGATTTCATTAATTCTGACAGGAAAAATATTAAACACTACCATTTGCAGCCGCTAGAGGGCGCTTGTGTTATGGCGAGCCAAGTGTCTCATTAATAGGTAAAAGTGGCTATTAATGAGACACTTGGCTTGCCAAAGATGCCACCTTCATCTCGCTCCAGAACTCCTGGAGCAAACGTCAAAGCAGCTTCATTTTGCTGCGTTACTCAGGCGAAATGCAGCTGATTTGACCATTAAAGTGCATTTATTAAGGAAAAGTTCAACTGAGACCTTTGCTATAATTTCGAGAAAACAAATAATTGTTTTTAAGTGCTAATCTTGTTAAATTCTTGTTAAAGTCCTCCCGTGTGCGCTCCCGCGGCCGCCATTTTGGCAGCCTATCGATTTTTGGCACAACACCGGCCCACATTTCTGGGTTGTCAGCGGTGACGCATCACAAACGCAATGTGTCAGCGCTGACACATAATAGATGCGACTTATACGGCGAAGGGACTTATTTTTGTTATTTTCCACTTTATTAGACGTTTTTGGACTGATGCGACTTAAATGCCAGAGCGACTTGTACGGTGGAAAATACTATAGTTTATGTTGGAAAAAGTAAACTTATTTGTAGTTTTTCCCATTTTTGAATAAAAATTTTAAAAGGGTAAATTAATACCTCCCCTCTCTCTCTGCAGGTGTGTTCAGTGCCGCTCTCGGCCAAAGACCTGGAGAAACGGACGGAGAAGGAGTTCGGGAAGTGGAGGAAAGACAAACCCACATCCACCTTTGACCCCAGGGGTCGCTGCCAAGGATACCAGATGGCGTGGGCGAGAGCTCGGCAGAAAGAAGAAGAACAGGAGAGGAATGAGAGAGAAAAAGGGAACCTGTCCGTCCCTCTCGAGCGCTCCACCTCGACTCTGTCGTTGTCGCCGTCCTTCCTTCAGAAGAAGTGGAAGATAGGAGGAAAAGTCAACGTGAGCAACTCGGAAAGACGCAACAAAGTCGTGAGGCATCTTTCAATGGGAGCAAAAGATGACTGCAGGAACTGGGCTAATGTAGATTTTAGGAAGGTGCAGGATGTCCAGGAGGAGGAAGACATCCAGGAGGAACACAAAACGAAGACGGAGTTAAATGAAAAAGAATCAGTGGAACATTTCGAAGAACCCAAAGTCCAAAACACAGCAACAGAGCACGGAGAAGAAACAGTCGCAGTTAAAGAACAGACTGAAAAACAAGAAATAAGTAGATCCAAAGAACCTCCTGAAGAAACACCAGGAAGAACATCTGCAGAACAAAAACAGGAGGGTTCTGCCAACCATCAAAACTCTGAAACTGATCTACAGCCAACAGAAGTTTCATCTCACTGTGAAAAGAAAGAAACGCTGAAGGACGAGAACCGATCAAAAACTCCAGAGGAACAAAACCACAAAAACAACGAGGAGAGTGAGAGTACTGGAACGAACGAGACAGAGAACAAAGAAGAGAACGATCATACGTCTGTAGAGAATGACCACACAGAGACACAGAGAGAAGGCAGGACAAAGACACAGACACAGAGAGATGACAACACAGAGAGAGAAGACAAGACACAGACAGCTACACAGAAAGAAGACAAGACAGAGACACAGAGAGATGACACGACAAAGACAGAGACACAGAGAGAAGACACGACAGAAACAGAGACAAACACACAGAAAGAAGACAAGATACAGACAGAGACACAGAGAGAAGACACGACAGAGACAGATACAAAGAAAGACAAGATACAGACTGAGACGCAGAAAGAAGACAAGACAGAGACACACAGAGAAGACAAGACACAGACCGAGACACAGAAAGACAAGACACAGACAGATACACAGAGAGAAGACACAACAAAGACAGATACATCGAGAGAAGACAAGACACAGATAGAGACACAAAGAGATGACACGACAGAGCCACAGAGAGAAGACAAAACAGAGACACAAAGAGAAGACAAGACAGAAACACAGAGAGAAGACAAGACAGAGACACAGAGAGATGACAAGACAGAGACACAGAGAGAAGACAAGACACAGACAGAAATTCAACAAGAAGACACGACAAAGACAGAGACACAGAGAGAAGACACAAATACAGAGACACAGAGAGAAGACACAAATACAGAGACACAGAGAGAAGACACAACAAAGACAGAGACACGGAGAGAAGACAAAACGGAGACACAAAGAGAAGACAAGACAGAAACACAGAGAGAAGACACGACAAAGACAGAGACACAGAGAGAAGACAAGACACAGATAGAAATTCAAACAGAAGACATGACAAAGACAGCGACACAGACAGAAGACAAGACAAAGACAGAGACACAGAGAAAAGACAAGACAGAGA